GTAGCAGGGCAAAAGGGGTCGCAAAAGTAGATTTGATGGTCCTTCAAGGCACTGTCTTGGTATTTTTTTTTTTTTGCTTTTTTAGCCAAAATGTGGCTCATTTCTTAAAATATTATGTTGTACAACTGAAGATTGTTTTTTATCAGGGACCAGTACGCTGTGCATCACGTAGTGTATAAAAACATGCATTGATGACAGAAAAACTGGGCAGAAACCGACAGGAAACCACACCTGGTGGTGCTGACTGTGGTCAGACGGTCATTTTGTCGCAGCCTTCCCTATTTATCTGGGATGGGATTAGGGTCAGATCTCTGGATTTTACCCTGTGACCTCGGTAATAAGACATTCAAGGCCACCACATTGCATTCGAGGAAAATCGATCTAAGTCAAATTATTCGGTGTCCTGCTTCCGAGTCTGAGGTGCAGTGTTTCTTAAAGACACTGCAGAGATTTTGTAGTTTTTATACTCAGGTTAGGAGTATTGTAGTTATTAAAACCTGTAGAATTATCAATTATTATTAAATCAAAATTTCCTTTGATGAACTGTCACAAGGTGACTTTCTAACATCCAACAGGCATTCACTGGCTCTGAAAATACATTTATTGGCAACGTTGGAGTCTTAATATGTAGAAAATAATGTTGTGCCAGGGCCACGGGGTCTGCGAAGTGGTTAGTGCCTCTGCCCTCTGCCTTTCAGCCGGAATGTCACGTGTTCAATGGTTTGACTTCTGCTCTTTAGTCTGGAGAGTGCATGTTCAGCCTGTGTGTGCATTGGCATAATAATATTGGATTATTGTGAGCCTCTAAATTGACCACAGGTATGAATGTGCATGGTTGTTTGTTTTTGGTATGGGGCCCTGTGATGGACTGGTGAGGTGTCCACTGTAAATTCGCATTAGCTCCCGCAGCATCCCTGAAAAAGGATTAAGCCGTAGACAAGAAATCACCAAGTGTTGTACCACCACTCATGGAACAGGAAATACAATCTGTTTTCTTGTGTGCAGAAAAAACTTTTCCATATAGTCACAAACAGCACTCTTTTGTATGTTCTCTCCTGCAAATAAACCTTTACACCCTGTTTACTCTTGCGCGATTGAGGAGGGACATGTTTCTCACCTGTGTCCCTCACCCTCTGTGATCCATGCCCTTAGAAACCCGTGCACGTCCATGTCCAAGTGCGTGACCCCTGAGCAGAGGCAATCACATGCAGTCATACACGAGAGCCTATAAATAACCTCTATCTCAGCTATAATCTCACACTTCACGTGGCTTGAACAGACTGAAGAAGTCTGGTTTCAGACATATGCTAATCAGCCTGCCTGAAATGTGGGGGTGGCTGATGATGCGGCCGTCAGTTTTCCACCTTCAGATTATTAGTTCGTTTTTAAACGTGTTGTGCATATTGTATATGCGTGTGTGTGTTTGTGTGTGTGTGCATTGCAACCTTAGCAAACTTCACTAACAGCAACATCAGTTAGTACCACTATTGACATGTGCATGTACATGACAGTGTGACGCAGAAAAAGTTAAATATTGCCATTCATCATTATTGTCTCTATTGTATTGCATGTCATATTGTGTTGATGTAAATCAGGCTTCACAGTAGGAAAGAGAGAAAATGTATTTAAATAACTTTCTAATGAAGATTGTGGTTGGATGACGTCAGTTGTGTTCGTGTCAGCGGTTTAAATAATGTAACAATTTAAATTACGATTTAAAAAAAAAAACGTCAATTTATTTCTGTATTCCTATTTGGTCTATTTCAAATGAACTAAATTGCCCTGTCTGTAGTCCGTCTCCTGCTGCTTGTTTTCGTTGTAGGCCACAAAGGTTTTCCATTAAACTGCAGTGACATCTATTGGATAAACTGGAGAACTGTCTTCTTCATTATTGACGTTCACATTGATTAATCAGCCGTTTCTTATGCAAGACAAGTTATGACTAAGGTTCGCCTCTGACCCGCAGCCCCTGACCTACTTATTTCACTAACTATCAAGTGGTAAAACAAGAAACCGAGTAGTAAAACGTTAAGGAAACAAATTAGTCTTCACAGTAAATACAAATCTTCTGTATCAGGGTCAAAATTAAGTAAAAACTTTTTTTTGACCATGGATCTCTTACATGCTGACAAGCTACTGATGCTGACAAGCTACTGATGTTTGTTTGTTTGTCTGTTTGTTTGTTTGTTTGTCAGCAGTGTTGTTTGTTAAATTAGTATTCTGCTGATGCACCATGTGTCTAGAAGCATCAACCAAATGCCTGAGACCTGCAGCAGCAGCAGCAGTGTTGTTGTTGTTGTGCTCCCACCTGGATATGTAAGCTTCACTTGACCATACACTGGAGGCATTTTTTTAAAATTATTTTATTGAGTTAATTATGTGACTCAGCATATTAGCTTCAGAAACTATGTATGTAATGCAAATGTATGTGTTTATATATTTTGGACATAAAACAATGTTAAAATAAATATTATAATTGTATAATAATAATTTACTCAGAATGGTTAAAGGGGTAATCAGCATTAGTTTAATTTGGGAGGAACAACTGCTGAGTTATTTTTTTAAATAACTACCCTCCAGTAGGGGGCACTCTAGACGTTCTGTGGTGTAAAGAGATTGGACTGCAGAATGCAGCATGTAGCATGTACCAGCTTGTGCTTCTTGGGTCTTTTCCAGTCCTGTACTGTAGGTGCTTTTTTTTTGCTAAAGTTTTGATATCATTAAATTTGTACGTACACTGAGAAAATGAGTTGTTTACCTAGAGTCAAATTACAAAATTAAGATGTTTTTTTTTAAGTCCGTGAATTAGATTTATGCGTCGTAGTGTTTAAATGAGATGTCAGAGATGTTGTTTGGAATTGTGTGTCTGCCTTTGGTGAGTCCAGCACAGGCTTCAGAGACTTTGGCCGTCCTCTTCGGTCGACCTGCTCCAGGCAGTTTTTCACATCTGCTACTGTATGACTCTCCAGAGACATTTCCAAAGAACACACACACACACCCACACACACAGAGAGAGAGAGAGAGAGAGAAACACACAGAAACACAAAGTTAAATTCTTGTGTATCATGTACTTATTGGTCATCGTATTAAAGCTCACAGGAGAGTCAGTGAGTTACTGCCGCAGACTTAAGATTTTTGTAAACAAGTTTTGAGGAGAACTGCGGACGGAGATAACTGTACTTGATGGTGGAAAGAAAAGAAGAATTTACATCTATCTAGTTATTGTGTGCGCCGCCCGTCCTTATGTATTTGCTTACATGGACATATTTTTGCCAGCATAGCAAACTGAGACTCCTATAGTCCTCTGCCTCTCTGTTAAAATGTTTTAGGGCACACAGTGCCTCAGGTCTGATTTATCTGAGTCGTCCTATATTGGATTTGTATAGCTATGATAAACAGTTCAAGGCCATAGCATGGGTTCGCCCTATAATGATAACAATTCTTTATTTATGGCATGCAGTAAGCTTCGCTATTTCCTCGTTTGAACCTTGTGCATAAAACCTCTCGGAGCAGCAGAGTGAATTTTTAAATTAGTTTTGCATGTGTTACAGTTACAGAGGCCTTTGAAGTTCCCCTAATAAACAGGTTTGTGAAGGATACAAGAGAGGAGAACAGGAGCTCTTTCATGCATATATTCTGATACACTCAGCATTGAGCCAAGAAGGTAAAGACTTCTAGGCTCCAGGTCAGAAAGTTCCTGTGCAAACTTTAGACATTATTTTCAAACTCTAAGGGTTTCAAAAAGTTTAAAAATGCTCCAGGACATTTAAGAAAAAATAAATGTATATACTGTATATAACCTTGGCCGACCTTAACCACCAGAAGTGGAAATTTTACCCTTTTTCCCATAAAATATGCTAGCAGGTCATTTGGATCAGTTTTTTTTATAACATTTTCTTAACATCATATCGTTTGAATACATTTTACTTACACAACTATTGTCTCTCTGTTGAGCTGAGTCTTTGGTTGTACTATTATACGTTTGCATTTTATTATCTATTTATTGAAAATAGCACCATTTTGCAAGTCTAGCTCATTTTTAGTTTTTTTTTTAAACTATTGATGTTGTTTTACCCAAATAATTTCATGTATCTTGTGATTTTAGATGAAAAGCTAACGTCTATGTTTCATATGAGTGTGTCGAAAACTAGCCTTGGCTTTTTGTTAGATCAAATTTATTGGAAAGCTTATTCCACAAAAGTATTTGATATTTAAAAAGAAATGAGAGTAACCTACCTACCTACAAGGGTTCTTTGAATTTAAACGTTTATAAACGTTTTTATTTTAATAAAAAATAAAAGTATTTATTTAAATCTAAATAGTAGTGATTTTTCTCAAATAATTTTATATAAAATATAATTATTTTCTAAGCGCTTGTGGTTTTTCATTCGTTAAATATTTATGCCCATGGTGTAATATGAGATATGGCCGCTAGAGAGAGACAAAGACAAATGCATGATTTGAACAAACATTTTAAAATGACAGATATACCGCAGAAAACGTACACAAAATAACCCCGGGAAGTGATGACAACAACCACGATGACCTCCAACCCCGACAGAGTTATTTATTAAATTCCCCACTGTAACACGGCACTCCCAGCAGCCGGTAGCACGCTCTGGTTGCTCTACTAGAACCACTGCTGCCAATCTGCACTTCATTAGACTGATTGCCTGCCAATATGAGCTTTTCCTTTTGCCTGTCCCGTAGCTCTTTTGGACTCTGTGATTAAAGAGGAACCTCGTAAATAAACCACTGCCTATAACCGGTTTCCTCATCGCATCAAAGTCACACGGAAGTTGTAAGCTGTCCTCATAATTGCTGCAACGCTCAGGCACTTCTTGAGCCTCCCGGATTGCCACTAAACTCACCCTGTGGCTCAGAGGTGGAGCCGTCCACCGATTCAGACAGAGGCCGTTCATTTTCACATGTAATGAGGCAGGAAGAACGTTATTCTGATGAGGTTTAGAGCCGAAACAAATAGTTGAGGTTAGCGCTATTCGACTGACGTGGTATGAGAGGAGGGTTGGTACCTTCCTCCAATGTAAACGTATATTAATAACAGAAAATTTAAAAAAAAATCAACTTAAAGGTTAGTTTCAAATTAAACGTAACCCTCACTGGGACAACAGATGTCAGGCCAACACAAACCACGTAATTACCAAAGCATAACAAAAAGAAACAGCAGCGCCGTAAAATAGGAAACTGTGTGTGAAGTTGGCTAATTTATGGATGCCATTTATACTTTGTCAAAAATTACCTTGAACTGACCACTGCCTGATGGGAAACACAAACCACACACAAAGCCTGCTGGGAAAGAACACAATGAAAACAGTGGAACTGCTACATGGTTCCAAAAGAAAGTACTCAGAATATGGTAGGTTTTTAAAAAACAAATTTGGTCTTGAATATTGCTTCTTTATTTTGTACAGAGAATTAAACTTTTTTTTTTTGTACATTTGAAGGATGAAACTTTGTGGAAAAACTGCATAGCACAATGTAGGCCCTTTCAAAGGGACTTGAGGGTGGGGTGGGGGGGCAATATAAATACAATTCCTGGTCAGACATTCTGTACCACATTATATTATAAATACAAAACATTAGGCAATCATACATTTCCAGCTCTGTGTTTTGAAAAATAGAGGTTATACACGTCTAGGGTTAAGACAGGAAAAGCGGTAGGGTTTTATTGCTGAGGGAATAAACGTGTACTAAGTGGTAACTTAGTGCAATTTGGGCAAACAAACAGATACTTTGGTAAAAAAAATGCTACAATGCTGTTTTCTTTAGCCTGAGTTGCTGATACAATAACACACCTATCCTGTAGGCCTGAGGCCTTCTTCAACACAAGGCACTGTACGTAATGACTTGAATAAATGTGCTTTTGGGAAGAGCTGTGGTCTCTGTTACCGTGCCCAGTGCAAGTGCTCATCCAGCGTTAATTATTGGTGAAGTAAACGAGTGGAACGTACACAGTTGGCAGAAGAACCCGCTTCCTTCCTAAGTGGAAGCTGTGTTAACGGGCAGTCCAAAATATCAACAGGACAAATCACGTATCCTTGCTGGACAAGAGTAAAGAGTTTTTCATATGAAGTGCTCTAAGAGTTCAATAAGCTCTTCTTGTGCTGCATAAATATTAGGAACACTGTTTTGTTTCCCTAAATGTCTGTCACACATCCGTTGTGTCCAAAATGCAGTCGATCACAGTCAAAGATATTTCCGTTGTTTGTTTGTTTTGTTTTGTTTTTAAGATAGGTGGTACATGCCGTAGCCCAGAGGGGCAGCATAGAGTCCTAGCGGTGAGATGGGCAGCATGGATCTGTGGTGGTGATGGTAGGCAGAGTAAGACTGTCCGTACATCGACATGGCACTTAAAGACAGGGGTAATGTGAAGCCAGGATGCAGCGCTCCCGCAGCAGCCGCCGCCGCCACCGCCACCGTCTTGGCGTCAGAGGCCATCTTGAGCTTCTCCAGCTCAGCCTCCTGGAGCCTCTTGGCTTTGGCCCGCCGGTTTTGAAACCAGATTTTGACCTGGGTCTCTGTCAGGGTTAAGGAGGATGAAAACTCTGCCCTCTCTGCGATGGACAGGTACTGCTTCTGTCTGAACTTCCTCTCCAGGGCCAGCAGCTGCGACGTGGTGAAGGGAGTGCGGGGTTTCCGGTTGGTCTTGTGTTTTCGTAACTGACAGCCAGGATTGATATGACCTGAGGAATGAAACGGTTGAGATCTGATTAGGGTACAGTACGTAGGATGTGTTGTGTTTGTTTGTTCATATCCAGAGAATCATTTTGATTTAATGTGGATTTTGAAGACACAAAAAATCTTTCTTGTACATCACTGACAGCCCAGACAGTTTGTCAGCCCATCACAGACTCACACACAAATTTTAAATCCTGCACGTTTTTCTACTGCGTGGCTAAACCGACATTTAAAAAGTTTTTCTACTGCGTGGCTAAACCGACAATTATGAGGAATATCCACACAGAAAGTAAAGTTTTAGTAAACCAGGAATCGAACAGGTTGTAAGGCAGGAATTGTAAGCACTTCCCAATTATTCAGCCAAACTACAGACACATTTTAGTATTTTTTTCGAACCAAATGAACCGACCGATAGAACTCTTGTCAATCTAATTTTGCAAAGGAGAAACTTCTTTTACACAGATTGAAGTGAATGTAACCGGTTGGTTTTAAATTTGGTTCATTTCCATTCTTGCTATTTGTCCTTGTTTAGTGACAACTTATTGAGTCTATTTTTTCAACGTTAAAATGCTTCATAAATTAGTTATGAACTCACGGGACTGAGTGGGAAATACACTGTTGGTGGCCCAGGGCGCGCACTCCTCCGTCTCTGACGCCTCCGATTTTACCGGCGACAAAGGCGCTGGGGGTGAACTCTTTCTGCATCCCCCTGGAGAACTGCTTGACTCCCGGCACAGATACTCGGAGTTCAAACCTGGCGGAGAAAACGTGGGCTTTACGGCGGTAAACTCTCTGGCGCTTCTGTCCGTCGTTTTCCTGCCGGACATTAGCGCCTCCACGCTGAATGGATGATGTCGACGCACCGCTGGAGGCGACTTTTCCTCCTCTGTCTCTTCTGCTGAGGCCGCACGGTGACTGTCCTCTTTGGATGAATTACAGTCCTGAAAGGTCTCCCGTGATGCCATCTCTCCCACAGGTTTAAACAAAAATTTAAAAAAAAAATTAAAATAAAACGTCAAAATTTATCCGAGTGCTCGGAACCGGGATGGTTGCAGCCAGATTTGAGCCGCTCCAGGGAGCGCAGTGTTGTGGAACTGTCAAGTGTAGAGACTTTGTGGGAGTGTGTGAACACCTCACGTTTACTTTGTTAAATTCTGACCAATCACAGCTGAGCAGCGTGTTTATGAGTGGGCAGATGTTGCCTTCAGGAACAGTTTAAAACGGTCGACGTTTGTTGTGGTTGTTGTTCCAACGTCCCTTTATTACAATCGACTTTGAGCGTCGTTTCTGTAATTTAGCTTAAGATTATTAAGAACCATTAGTTCCTCTTTTGGACTTCATAACGTGTGGTTGCCCTTTTGGCTTTTCCTGTCGCAGTTAATCACATTTACGTATTTAGTTTTGTGTGCTTTGATTTATATAAACAATGCCAGGAACCATGTGGACAAAATATGACAACTGGAAAAAAAAGAAGAAGAGGCAACGGTAAAATACAATGTGTAACATAAAATGAGTGATAATTCAACACTATTTTATAATAATATTAAACAAAAGTTAAACAGTTAATTATTTAATATCTAGCTGGTAAGCTAAATTCTGGTAATACATCATTCTTGATGATGTATTTCCTCATTGCCTATTTTGTTTTTCTAATTATTCCGAATAGCCCAGCTGCAACAATACATTTTAAATTATGGATTTGCCCTGCAGTTCACCTCATAAGCCTGATAAGTGCAAACTCAAATTAACAATCAACAGAAGTCGGTAATGACAGCAATGATCCCTTTGCTTTCCTCTTCATCAGTCTCTCATGTGTTTACTGTGCTCTCGCGGGGGATTTCCATCTCGTACTATATCTCACAATACTTTTGTGTCCTTAGAGGGACGGGCGTCACGCTTAATGGACAGGCTGTATTTTCTTTTTCCTCAAAATTTTCAGCTCTGTCTACTTGGTGCCTAGACACAATCTGGATGAGACATTCACATGGCTGCCTCCATGTCTGTGGTCCCCTCGTTCTTTTGTATCTCTCGTCCTATGATTCAGTTCCATTTTCTATGCACATTACACATCAAGTAACTCATTGTGATCCTCCTGATGTAACTCTTTGGGAGTTTTCCACGGGAAATTTCACGCTACCATATGTCAGATAAAAAAAAACATTTCTCTTCCAATGGAGAACGTTACAGTCGAGCTGTTTGTTTGAAGAGATGGTCCTTTGATTATGGGCGGGGGGGGGGGGGGGTATATTTAGTTAAAAGGATGTGTAACTTGTCCATTTTCCCATGGACATGCTTCGCTAAGTAATTTAACCCAGGCTATTGCTAGCAGCTTCGTCCTTGAATGATCATGACTGTGTCAGACTACAGGGAAAACGTCACTGTTTTAATTTCCCCATTTATTGATCTGTCCTTATTTCCGTATCCGTTTTCTTTATCGACAGCTGCGTGAATTCTCATTAATGAAGGCTGCTTCCCTTAATGTCCCAACTATAGCTGTATCGTCCTGCTTGTATACAAAAGTAAAGATTATTGTTAAAATAAATGTTGAATTTTATACTTCCATTCAGAGTTTTTTTGAATAACAAGTTTTTTTTTAAACTCAATCAGGAGAACAAAGTTTAAACTTGACAAAAACAATTCCTGATAACTACAGTGCAGCACAGGCCAACAAAACCTTCCCGAATGTCAGGAAGTGGCGTGAGAAGTATTATTAAGTATTATTAGGTAGTTCAAAGAGATTAAGCGGGTACTGAGGGAACAAACAAGGATGGAGGATTTCAAAAACTCCCGGAAGGTAATTATTATTAATTATTTTTATTATTAAATTAGGTGTAGGAACAATGACTGCCAAAAACACACTGAATGACATTCACCAGGGGCCTGCAATAAAAAAAAAAAATAAAAAACAGATAGAGGAAGACCAAAATGGCTCCACTCCTTCAGAAGGGGTGCCTCCAAGGCAGATTTAAGTCTGCTGAGGAGGAACAGGGGGAAGATGACAAACACTGAAAGCATATAATTTGGACAGATGAGACCAAACCTGAACTTTTTAACCACAGTGTTGTTGTTTGTGTTTGAGGAGGAGGAGAGCCATATGTACCAAAGGACACTGTTCCCAAGGTATATGATGATAATAAGTCTGCAAAAAAGTTAGGAAGGAATAAAAAAATATGCTGAGATTTTCTGGGGTTGCCTGAGACTGAAGATGTTCTCAAACTATTAGGATTCAAAGGCAAAAGAGTACATTGGGAGTTTTGGGTTTTTTTTTTTACCAAGAAATTGACGTCAACCTTCTACATAAGATTACAAGGCAACTTACACAAGAATAGGAATTGTGCCATATCCCCGATATTAGATAAATCCTATAAAATACATATATTTTGCCTCTAATTCTCAATATATTTGCAATGTGCCTAACTTAAATCAAGTTTAGTCAGCATGCCAGAAGCTAGGACTCATTTCCCAGGATACAGCTTGTGCTGCTCTACTTTATAAAGTAGAGTTATTTCACAGACAATGAGAGGTCTGTGAAGGCGCCAGTAGGCGGCCAGATTAAAGGAGTGACTCCTCAGGGGAGAAACTGTTGCTCCTTTTTTTTTTTTTTTTTTTGCTCACGATCCCCACCTCTCTCTCTCCCTGCAGGAGCCCTGTCAGTCATTATTTACTAAACGTGTTCTTTGATAAGTGTTTTTGGCACGTTCTCCTCCTCGAGACTCTCCTGTCATTACCTCTTACCACTTTTTCATCCTTGTTAAGTTCATTAGTTTTATGGCTTTTCTTGTTTATTCACAGGATGGTTACAGCGTTCCTCCTTCGTCTGTTATCTCCTCCTTTATAATTTGTCTCTATAGCAGCGCCTTGATAATCGTGCAATCATTCATTCCTCACTCCCAGCAGTGTTTCTTTCAGCGCAGCTCTTCCCATTTTCTGACATGGAAAATTTCTTTTTTTTTCAAATTGTAAGAGATCCAATTACACATCCATCTATCAGACAAGAAATCTGATGAGAAAATCTGACAGCGAACAGGCAGTGGGACCTGTTTATGGGCCAACGTGAAAGGAAATAAAAATGTTCCTGGAATGTGTTACAGTCTATCATCACACCATAAAAAAGCCTGCTAATTGCAAATAATAATAATAAAAAAAAACTACTGGCAAGTGTTTTTCCTGTGGTATTTGGAGAACACAACCCATATTTCAGCTGAGCACCAGCTACAGCCTGCAACCAAATCAAGATCAACGCCACTAATGCCAAATCTCCGGTGCAGTTGCAATGGCATTTTAACAGAAGCTAAATGTTTATTAAAATAATTAAGGCTCAACACGTTTGTTTGTTTGTGAAAGCCACAATTAAATCATCTCTTCAACCGTAACCGGGGTGCAATTTAATTATTTACTGTTTACTTTAATAACGGTGTTTTTTTATTTATTACTTTATTACGTAATTCTTCTAATGCGCAGTACACACGACAGTAACCTGGAAAATAAACGCTTTATTTTTTTGTCGTGCAAAGAAAGACGAGGAGAACAGGAGGGAGGGTGTAGAAATGAAATGGAGTCGGAGGGCAGTAGCAAAAAAGAAAAAAAAAATATCCACACATCCCACTTCCTCCTTTCCATAATATCATCTAAGCCTGATAATAGCAAAAGCAATTTGTCTGAGCATGTTTCTGTGTGTGTGTGTTACAGTGAAGCAGGAGAAGCCTCTGGTTGTGAGGGTTGGGCACACCTCAGAGCATTGTAATTAGAGCAGTAACTTTGAAGTGGTGGAATGTTTGGCTGGATAATCAACAGGCTGGGCTGCGTTCACATACTATTTACATTCCCATTAAAACGCTCATTCATGCATCGCACTGGTAAATTTTACTACCTATAATGATCGCTCAGTACAAGGTCTGACATGAAAAAGTGTAACGACTTAATGCTGTTACAGCATGTAAATATGTCACATATATATATATATATTTGCTTTTATTGCCCTCAGCATTTACTTAGCGAGAGGTGAGCGACGATGTCAAGATTGTGGTCAGTTTAGTCGGAGTTTACTTTAAATGGAAGTGAGCGACAATGTCAAGATTGTGGTGCAGGAAGTTTAGTCGGAGTTTACTTTAAATGGATTTCAAAAAGTCAGGGAAGTACTGCAGTTTTCAAGGTTTCGCTGTTGTTTTTGTATGAGGATTTAATCATTTAGTGATGGCAACAGAAGGGTCGACCAGCTCACTCTGCCTCATCAGATCTACAACAGCTGCTCATAAAAGAGCACCGGTGGCACAGAAACAAAGTTCTTGAGGAAATACTAGCTGTAATTATTTCACTTTACACTATTATATTATTACTCTTGAGATACTAGTGTAAAGAGATACTAATTAGTATTTTTATCAGCATCACTTTATATTGCTGCTAATTCTAATTATTATTATATATTGTTCAGTTGAACATATGTGTAAGTATTGTTTCTATGTCTCCTACTATTTAACTTACTAAAGATAAATAAGGATGTAATATAATAACTTTATTATTTTACTTATATTTTGCTTTTTTTTCTGTTTTATTCAGATTAGCCGATTAGCTTGAATCTTTAGCCTAATGAGTGTGCCGTGCTCCGAAAGTTATTTTTGCGGCTGAAAAAGCCAAGTTCACAAATCTGTATTTAGTTTTAAGCATTTCTGGGAGTTTTACTTCTGCACTTAAAATTTACAACTTACTCTCTCTCTCTCTCTCTCTTTTTTAATCTCTTTTCACTAGCTAAACATTAGCTGTGTTACACAGTTAAGGTGAGGCTTGACAATAATACTGTTTTACTGTAATGTCTTAAAAATGAAGTTTAAAAAAATCAGATTAACATTAAGTCTATTAAATTAATCCACAGGCTTGGCATCTAAAAGCCCTTATAATTAAAGACAAAATTCAACTTCATTCCTTTAAGACGTGCCTCACCTACACGTGTCGAGGCAGTGCTGCGTTAAAAAGCATCACGT